CTGCGGCGTGGATGGACCCTGGCGTTGTCGTGGAGTCGAGGGAGCCTCGGGCGCCACTTGGTTCTTCTGCCCTGACACTCTGAGGGATGTCTGCTTGGACAGGCCTCCACTGGGTGAGCCTTGTCGAAGCTTCCATGGCGGTGAAGACGCCTGGCTTGGGGGGCTGACGAGCAGGCCCGGGAGACCTCGAGCCCTTGGAGCCGGTGGAGGGATTTGTCCACTTGTGTCATGCTACCTATGTGACTTTGTCAGAGGAGTGGGCGTAGCGCCGCGCGCCCGTCGGTCGGGGCGGCGCTAGGAGCCCCTGAGCCTTGGATGCTCGGCGTGCTGGTCGATGCTCGGTGTCAGATATATGGGCCAGGGGTACCCTCAACTGCCCGTATATACGACCACATCCAAGCTATCGGCCCAGGAGCCGTCAAGGAGGAGGCCCACGAAGCACGAGGAGACACGCGGGAGGATTTGGGGGCTTGGCCTAGACCCAACGGAAATGGGGTCTGGAGGTATGATTTGGGTGCCCAACTAAATTTCAAGGCCACAGTAGGGGCCCCGCTGAAGCACGTTTTTTTGGCCTGAGCCCCTATATTTAGCTATAGGGGCTCAAGTAGGAGCCTTGCTGGAGTTGCTCTGACAAAGGCTGAGAGGTCTTTTTTTTATCATATATAAGCTGGTGAGAATTCTTGCCAAACACGGGCATAGTTAGTTACATCATTAAATCATTAAATGTGCCAACCTACCATTCTTCCGTCTCCGCCTTAAAATTTCTCAAAACTGGATATACTTTCAAAGTAGTAAAATTTGTCAATACCATGTGGGAGAAAAAGTTGTACGCCCTGGCTTAAACGTGGGTAAGGTAGTCCCTTACATAATTATCAGTAGAAAACACAATTGCTCTGTATTAATGAGAGTTTGTTTGACAGGGTGTACTAAATGGAAAAGAGATTGCCGTAAAGATACTTCGTGACATGGCTGCACTTGATGATAATGCCTTTAGGAATGAGTTCCAAAACCTTGCAAGACTCGATCATCGAAATATTGTACAGTTAGTGGGCTACTGTAACGAATCAGAGAAACAAACTGTAGAGCGTGACGATGGAACAGAAGTTATTGCTGAAAAGATGCATGTGGCCCTCTGCTTCCAATACGTAGAAAATGGCAGCCTTCACAAGCATATTTCAGGCAAATAACTTGATTCTCAACAGGCCATACATGCAATTTCATTTACATTATAACAAATGATTCTTTGCCGAAGTATATTTAAGTGTTCTTTAATGTTTTCTTTTGTATGTACAGATGAATATCAGGGGCTTCACTGGCATATTCGCTACAAAATAATTAAGGGGATTTGTGAGGGTTTAAAACACCTTCGTGTGGGGTTGGAATCACCTGTATTGCATTTGGACTTAAAACCTGAAAATATATTGCTAGACAAGGAAATGGTGCCCAAAATTGCAGATTTCGGTTTATCAAGACTAATTGGAGAAGAAAGAACAAAACAAACAATAAATTCGGTTGGGACATGGTAAGCTTAAGTATGCCTCGACAAGTTGATTTGAAAAGGTTAAGGGTTCCTCTACGTGGGTATCATAATGACCAACCCTTCATTTTTCTTGCTATTTTAGCTTTTCATAACGATGCACAATTTTGAACATTGACATGCTAATATGTTTTTCCTCTTTAGTCACTGTGTATAACAATATTCCCATCTATGATGATGTGCAGTGGATATTGGCCACCAGAGTACGTGAAATTCCAGTTGCTCTCAGAAGCATTTGACATATTTAGTTTGGGTGTTATAATTATAAAAATAATGATTGGAAATGAAGGATACCACAGCTTCGCTGATATGTTACCTCGAAAACTTGTTAAGCATGTAAGAATACGTTTGGTCTTATATCAATCTTATTATTTATTTTTAAATAAAAAATGCATTTTGTGTTTAAACTTTGTTTGCAATATATATCTGCCTTCTAATTATAGGTCCTAATGTTGCAGGTACATAATAATTGGAAGAAAAGGCTACAGGAAACAATTGAGCCTACATCACTGGAACTAGAAGCATACTACTGCCAACAGGTGAAGACATGCATTAAGATGGCATCAAAATGTTTGAGCGAGGATCGGAAGGAAAGGCCAAGCATACAGGAAATTGTCTGTGCTTTAAATGAGGCTGAAATAATGATGCGAAACATACCGTTGCAAATAGAAAAGGTATGATCTCTGGTGGAGTATTGACAGAGTTAATAATTAATAACTGGACGCTCTCACACGGGCTACAACCTTAGAAGACATAAGCATTACTTATTAATTTATACATCTAACTAATAAAAAATACTTATATTAAATTATGTGTTTTTCTTTCTGTTCATTTTCTAACACAATAGCGTAACACCAAGACAAAACGGTTTTTGTCGATGCTACGGATTTATTCTACTAGCAATTCAGAAAGAAGAGGCGCCAGTAGAAATAGAATTGTATGCCCATGGCTATAACCGCCGGAGGAGATATCTTTACCGGCGGATTTCCTGATGGTATGAACCGTTGGTGTAAATTGGATTTATACTAGTGGGTGTTTTTAAGCTTATGACTAGTGTCAACATAAATCTAGGATTTCTACCGGCGGTAATCTTAAGAAAATTGTCCATATAGATATGTTTACACTGGTGACTTTCTTAACCTGCCGCTAGTACAAATAATTTGAAATCTATTTTTTTAAATTTTCAAATGACTTCAGCTGAAGAAATGACCTAAACCAGAGTCGTAGTCCTCGAAGAGGTCTAAAAATTTCTGATTCAATCTATTTTCAATTGAAGTCGTTTAGGGTCTCAACTATGCATTACAATATTCACTAAAATGAATACAAAAGGAATGTATTAACCACTTAGTCATAAGTGAATCTAAGGTTTAGTGGTAAGGAAATAATACAATATAAGATTGAAGTTGTGAGTTTGATCCCTGGCAGAAATGTTTTTTTGTACTAGTGTAATGATACTTTGCAATCTCATATATATGCGAGTAATATTTCCCATTTGAATGATACATTTTTAGAACATAATGATACAATTATTTTGACGAGGAGGAAATGGTATCATAATCGTGGTAGATGCTATGTGTATCATACATCATACTGAAAACTTTTCCCTTTTGTGTAACAAATATTTGTTCAAACAAACAGAAGGTGGACCGCACATATGTGATGAAATACTATCCATATGAATTACTAAGAAGAATAACAGATAATTTCTCAGAAGAAAGATTACTAGGTGAAGGTGGGTTCGGACGCGTTTACAAGGTATGGTTAGCATTTACACTTACAAGGCATCCAAAAATCATCAGAGAACTCATTTTCCTAAAATGAGAAATTAATTAGGGAATTCATGAAGATGGACGAGAAATTGCGGTGAAGGTTCTTCGTTACTTTTCTGCATTCGATCCTGAGCATTTCCAAGCTGAGGTTGAAACTGTGGCAAGGTTCCGGCACGAAAATATCATACAATTAGCTGGATACTGCTATGAAACAGAACCGACAATTTTACAACACGAGGGGAGACTTGTCATTGCTGACAGCATCCATAGTGCAATATGCTTCGAGTATTTGCAAAATGGAAGCATTGAACGGCATATTTTAGGTACCGCAATGCACCATGCAACATATATACAGTATAATTCATAATAAAAGTAAATAGTAATTCATGACTTATAAGTTAATTTGATATGCGAAATTTGTTTTGTTTTCCAGACGAATCTGATGGACTTGATTGGTGCACATGCTATAAAATAATTAAGGGACTTGTAATGGTTTACGATACCTTCACGAGGGACTGCCTTATCCTATTATACATTTTGACCTGAAACCAAGCAATATACTTCTGGATGGGAACATGGTCCCTAAAATATCAGATTTTCCTATAGAAAGAGTCTTCGGTGAAGATAAAATGAGGACAATAATGGGTTTCAGCCCAATGTGAGCAGCCGTAACTGAATGTTTGTTTTCTGTTTGGTAGTCATACACTTGCTCGTAGCAGAACTGTGTCAGATAACTATACGATGTCGTGCAGGAGATACCTACCGCCAGAGTTCGTGACTATGCAAATAGTATCAAAAGAATTCGACATATACAGCTTGGGGATAATAATCTTAGAAATGATGGCAGGGATTTCAGCACACTCCTTATTGCATGACATGATTTCTGAAGAATTTATCAAGTTTGTAAGAAAAAGTTAAATTTCGGATATGTACTATATGATCAATAAACATTTCTCTATCAATTCATTTGAGTAAATGTCCAATGTTTGTAACCACCATTCTATGTAACTATATGCTGTTATGACCCTGTAGGTACTTGGGAAGTGGAGGAAAAGGCTAGAAGCAACATTGACGGGCCGCCGTCTATTAATAGTGGATATATATTGCAACCAAGTGAAGAAATGCATAGAAATTGCATTGGAATGCGTGGATGCTGACAGGCAGAGAAGACCCAGCATAGGCCATGTTGTCAATGCGTTGGACGAAACAGAAAACAGAATTCATGAAGCTGGTAAGCTGCTCAATTGATAACGTGCACCTGATGGAACGCCGCCTCTCTTTCAAGCCAAAATATTATCTTTTCCTTAGTTTTCGTTAGTGGTGAACTTTTAAATTTTCTAATCTTATTAATCAAAAGCATGTCACTACCACAAAAATAATTTTAGGAGACAACCTCTGTTGTTAACGGCTGGCGGCCAGCTTCATAAATGGTCGGGCGGCCTCATGGAAAATGCCTGTCTCCAAAAATTATTTACAGAGGCGAACGTCCCAAGGCGACCACCTATAAAAGTCATCGATTAACAGAGGCGGTCATCTTAGGACACCCGTCTTTGTAAATTGGTTTTCAGAGGCGGACACTTTAAGATGTCCATCTCCATAAATTGATTTCTAGAGGCGGACGCCCGTCTCCGTAAATTGATTTCGGGAAGACGGAGCCCACGCGTGACCTCGTATGGGTGCCCGCTGGGTCCGCCATGGGGACCAGCTCACCCACTGCTGCGAGCTTGCCTGCTCTGGGGCCGAGCCCGCCCGCCTGGGGGAAGATGGAGATGGTGCGTGACCTTGAGGGCGCCTGGGGCCACCGCACAGGCCTAGCACGCCCGCCATCGGGGAAACGGAGAGGGGCTGGAGGAGCTCTGCCACCGCCGGTTGGAGGAGATGCCATGCTGGCTTCTCTTGACGAGCTTCGCCTCTTTTCACGCCAAGTTGGTGGACACTTTTGTTTTTGTCAAATTTACTCCTAAACACCACATCCAATAAAATATTAATTTCTTGCTCGAGGAAAGAGTACAGTGGTGAAATATCTTTTTCGCCTTTTGTTCTTCGCTCCCATTTCTTTTCTTCCCCCTTCCACTTTGTTCCATGAAGACACGCGCGGAGTGCAAGGCCACGATGAGCAAAGGCCAGGCTGGCCACGAGCAAAGACCACACGGGCCATGGCGGGGAGGCCGTCGGCCTCGAGTTTGCCGACTGCAAGGGCTTTCGGCCACTAGAGCGCGAGCTGCCGAGGGCAGCCAACCGCGATGGTACAGAAAGCGCGTGTGGTCGTCGGCCGCAACCTCACCAATTGCAGGGGCTGCCAGCCACGGGAGGACCAGCCGCGAAGGCAAAAAGGGAGGAGCCCGGGCGAGGCGCAGAGCTGGGGTCCCGGGCAGATGGGGACCGCGGCGGTCTAGGCGCTTCCACGCTGGCGACCACCTTGTCGACCTCTCCTGCAAGACTTCTTCATGACCTCGGCCTGCCTGATGCGGCCAACAGGCATCCATCTAGGTGACCGTCCAGCTCACCGTGTTGTCCTCCTCTCCCGGCGCGAGCACTCGCTGCTCGCCGCGGGCACCGGCTGAGGCCACAACCACACCACCTGGGGGACCGTCAAGCTCGCCGGTCACCCGTGTCCACGCGGAGGGGAGGAAGACAGAGAGAGGGGCAGAAGGACATTTCACCACTCTTCTCTCTCTCCTTCAAAGTAGAAATGAATATTTTATTAGGCACGGTGTCCTCTAGCAAATTTGGCAAGAAGCAAGAGTGGAACGATGAAGATAGCAGATCTAGTTACACAAAGAATAGTTCGAACCGTCCATACAAGACAAGAAATTATTCATATAAATTACTGAGAGAAATAACAAATGATTTCTCAGAAGATAGACTAATTGGTGTAGGAGGGTCTGGAAGCGTTTACAAGGTGATGAGCATTTGCACCTCCAAGGCATCCAAAGGTCAGTACCATTGGAGAGAATAATTAAGAGCTTAACCTACTAAAATGATATATTAAACAGGGAGTCAATGAAGATGGAAGGGAAATTGCTGTGAAGATTCTTCATTTTAACGGCTTCAGTGGAGTCGATTCTGAGCACTTCCAGAATGAAGTTTATAGTATGGGAATGATCCAGCATGAAAATATTGTACGATTAGTTGGCTACTGTGATGAAACAGAAAAGTTACGTGTAGAACACCATGGAGTTGCTGAAAAATTTCATCGAGCACTCTGCTTCGAGTATTTGCAGAATGGAAGCCTTACAAAGCATATTTCATCAGGTAAGGTACTACAACAATGAACAAATAATATATTATCTGTAACTGAAGAAAATTGTTGTTTGAAGTTAGAAACTATATATGTTTTGCAAAATAGAGTCAACTTTAGATGCACAAAATATCTGTTTTGCAGACGAATGTGATGGACTGGATTGGTGCAGACTGTACAAAATACTCAAAGGAATTTGTGATGGTTTAAGATACCTTCACGAGGAACTGCCTATTAGTCCAATTTTGCATTTGGATCTTAAACCAAGCCATATATTGCTGGATGAGAACATGGTACCAAAGATATCAGATTTTACTCTGTCAAGATGCCTTCAAGAAGGTCATACCGTGGTAACATCATCTATATACGGAACGCTGTGAGCTAATTTTGCAAACTAAACCCTCATTTTTATAAGCTCAAAGTCAAACTGCATTTATTTTACCAGAACTGTTTATGATATTTATGATGTTGTGCAGGGGATACATGCCGCCAGAGTTTATAAATAAAGGCATTATTTCAGTAAAATCCGACATTTACAGCCTGGGTGTCACGATTATATATATGTTAACAGGGAGGCGGGGATATACTATTGAGGATGAGATCATTTCCCAAGAGTTTATGGAGGATGTAATAAAAAGTTTACTTTAGTCTATGTACTAAGATTAAGAAAGATCAATAGACAATTATGTTTGACCAATTCGTTATGTCTTCATTTGTGTTAACTCCGTAGGTATTCAAAAACTGGAGGAGAAGGCTACAGGAATCATTGAAGGGCCGATCACTGGAAGGATATTGCCAACAAGTGAAGAAATGCATTGAAATAGCATCGCAGTGTGTGGAGTGAGACAGGCACAAAAGACCCAACATAGGAGCCATCGTCCGTATGTTGGATGAAACCGAAACCATGATTATGGTTCATGATGCCGGTAAGCTGCTTGACGTGCATCCGATGGAACTCCGATTCCCGTTGAAGCCAAAAAGGTTCGCCTCCTCCTTGCTGCGGCTACGCAACAAGGAAGACCACCATGTGGCATTCAGGCTTGTGTCCAAAGGCCAGAAGATGTACCACACCAACCTGCCCCTCCTCGGCATTGTGCCACCAAAGTGTACCTACACCATCGCCCTGAGGATGAGTAACCAGCAGAAGCGACCACAATTGGACGGCGATGAAGGCTTACTGGTACAGAGCGTCGCAGTGAGCCGTCAGCAGTGTCTTGACCAAGCCTCGGTCGTCCGAGAGTTTCAAAGTCACTTTAACAAAGCACAAGAGTCGGACGACGATGAGGTGCAAGAGCAAGAGGTGACATTGGAGTTTGTTTCTTCTCCGCCAACTGAAGAGGCATCATCCAAGGTAAGTTTTGCTAAACAAAATGAAGCTTTTTTTCCCCCATTTACCTCACCTGTGCGTGACGTAAATTGTGCACTTGTTTTCTTCTGCACTGGTCATCCTTAATTTCTGGGTTGCATTTGTCCGACAGCTGACTCAGACCGGAAATCGATGTAATAATCTTTGGGTTTCTCTTTATTGCTGTTGCTAAACAACACGTTTCGGATAAGAAAATTTATTTGATACGAAGCATGACTGGATTTCATGTAAGGCACGTTTCGGATAAGAAAATTTATTTGATACGAAGCATGACTGGATTTCATGTAAGGCTCTGTTTGATCCCCTTGGCTAAAGTTTAGCCCAGTGCTAAAGATTAGCCCTTGAAATGAAGGGGCTAAAGTTTAGCCTCTTGGACTGTTTGGATGCTTGACTAAAAGATGACTAAAAGGTGAAAAAGAGAGGAGAGAGAAAGAGAGTAAAGCCACCTGTTAGCACTTTTAGCCTCCTTTATCCTACCTTGCAAGGGCTAATGGGCTAATGGAGAGCTAAAGATTAGCCCCTCCTTTTAGCCCTCCTGTTTGGATTCCCAAGGGCTAAAAGGTGGCTAAAAGGGGAGGGCTAATCTTTAGCCCCTTGAATGCAAACAGGGCCTAACTTATATGAATGGTTTGGATCAGATCATAACGGCGCCGGATGCTCAGGAAGTGTCATCTATAGAAGTGCACCCAAAAGAGCCATGGTAAGTTCTCATTGATCAAGGATGAAATGGCTAACCTTCTTTTGGTTTTTTACTTTTTTAGAGATTGGCTGTGCTTATGTTTCCAAAATGTAACCAATCATTATACAACCAGCTTGCTTCCGCTCCTTATATGACAAGGCAGTGCTCCTGCCAATCTTTTTTTTTAAAAAGAAAAATTCACGCGGCGTACTACGTACCAAGCGCTTGATTAGAAAATTGTTCTGATTAATAATCAATGCCTTGGCTGTGTAATTTAATTTTTTCTTCAGGATTATGACAACTCATGAAAGAGGGAACTTTCGCATCTGGAACTACCAGACTTTGGTGGGAGGCTACATTTTGTCATTTATTACTCATCGGAGTGTTCATCACGATTAAATAAATTTGAACTGATTAAACTAAGGACATATATTCATTCATCCGCAGGCAATCTTGAATCCCATTAGATTACCAGAAGAATCAGGCATGCAATCTTTCTAACCCACTTCATCATTTGCCATTACTTTCTCCCGCATCATCCAATCTTGCTTATTAATCACACACTCTGGAGTGTCGCATGCAGTTTATGTGGCTAAATTTATCGCACGAGAGGAATGGATTGTGGCTGGTGATGGCAATGGCTGCATCCATGTATTTGGCTACGATGAATACCAAGACACCACAAGCTTCGAAGCGCATAATGGTCAGATCATGTCCTTGGCTGTTCATCCCAAGAATTCTTATGTACTGTCATCATCTCATGAGGATCACCTGATTAAGCTCTGGCACTGGGACAAGTACTGGGACTTTGAGAAGGGGCCTTGGGTGTGCACTCGAACATTTGAGGGGCACTCTAATAAAGTGTCACATGTTATTTTTAACCCAGATGGCACTGACAGTTTCGCCAGCGCGTCCTGGGATGGCACGGTCAAGGTTTGTGTATATGCTCGTTTTCGAATCCTTTTTAACCCATTAAGAACTTTTTGTGGTCTTTTAACATTTGATCGATATGAAATTTACTCTATTGTATGGTACGGTGTTCGATCAAAATTTCTTTGAGAATCTGTATTGAAATGGCGCTATGACTAAACTTCACAGATCTGGGACTGGGGTCTTAACTCTGATGTGTGTAACACCATCACGTTGGACGCACATCCGGATGGCCTTCTTTGTATTGATTACATCACTGGTGCTGATCCTCAGCATCTTATCACTGGCTCCAAGGATCAGACTGCGCAGGTTTCAGTTCCACATCTTCAGTTGTGGAAAACATTCATGACTCACCTCCTCTTTCCATGGTTCGTATCACTGCTATAATGCGTTCCGCCTTTTTGTTCAACCAGATCTGGGACCTGAAGATAAAGAGGTGCAGGGAATTCCTACAAGGGCATGCACACCATGTTAGTGTTGTCTACTGTCACCAAGAGCTTCATAAGCTATTTACAGGTTCACTTGATGGGACTGTTCGGATTTGGGATTCCATGACATACAGGTAACTTTTTAACACGACCATGGGCATTAACTTAACATATAATAGATAATTAAATATCAATTTCTTTATATAATTTGTCAAAGTTAAGATGGATTATCCCCTCGCAAAGAGACTTTTTTGAACTTAGATAGTATATATATATGGTGAAATTTTAGTCATAATTATTGTTTAGAGAAAATTTCTTCCTTGGCTCTAAAAAAAGTTCACTTTCCTTCTTACCCTTTTAGATTTGAAGTTACCTATTTGGCCCGAAATCCATCTTGCTTTCTTATATGGCCATTCCATTAGATTTGGCCTCTAATAATGTTAATTGGAGGACGAAATGATGATTTTACCCCTGGGTGAAATAGGTAAGTTCAGTTTTAATATATTTCATTTGGAGGATTATTTAGACTATTTTCGTACGGCCTGAGGTCATCATAATTGCTTCAAAAATAATGTGTACATTAGTTTTTGCAATTATGATAACTACAAACCATGCAAAAATAGTCTAAATAATCCTTAAAATGAAATATATGAAAACTAAACTGCCTATTTCGCTCAGGGGTAAAATTATCTTTCGTCCTCCACCCGGGCGCCGATGTAGCGCGCCACTAAGGAAGCGATGACCCGATCCTTGCTCACTTCACCATGCCCAGATAGCGACACGGTGCGTCACCAAGGGGTGCTGACTCGGCCCTTGCCCATTTAACACCATACCCGGGTTCCAATATGGCGCGTCGCTAAGAGGGTTACGCCCCAACGGATTTCTTTCGGGTTTCATCTTCATTAGAATGGCTAGATTTAACGTTGGCTCGCCACGCCTATCACAACCCTCCTCCTTTACCAGGGCTTGGGACCTACTATGTTGAGACAACATAGGCGGAGTTCCGGTTATGAATGCTTATTGCAAAAAATTCTCATGAACACATATAGTGCGCATAGTTGATGGAATAATCTGAGTTTCTTATATCTCCAAAAAAAAAAGTTAACAATAGGTTTCTTATCTTACAGGCTTGAGAATATTATTGCTCTTAACCTCGGAGCAGTTTCCGATGTTGGATATATAGATGAGTTACAAAGGTAATTCAATTTTTTTTGTCAAATACTTCACTGACCAAATAGAACAATGCTACTCTGATATTTATTGCCAAACAATTCAGGATACACCCAAAAAACACTATTTTTGACATAATTTTGGTGCGATTGGCTATGTAAAATTATGCGTGATATGAAATTCCACTAGCTATGAACCTATGAATAATGAACATCAAGGCTTATAGAACACACATTTATTACTCCTTCCGTTTGAAACTGTAATTAACTCATTTTGTTTTTTCTAGATTGATAGTTTTTATTATGTATATAGTCATGTATATCTAGGTGCATAGTAAAAGCTATATATTTACAAAAGTAAAATTACGTTTTGAAACGGAGGGAGTACTTTCTAGCTAGAATATCGCATGGGGCATGGAATCATATTGCAGATCAGGTCTAACAATATAATGAAAATTTTAATATGCTTCCATTTTTATTTTCATAACAGTTCTTGTGAGTGGACAGTATGAATCTTGTTAATACATGGCAGTAAACACACTAAGATATCCAATGGCATAAGTGTGACACATGAAGTTGTTCGATACAATTTAAGTGGTGATAAACATGTATTTTGTTGAAAATAAATTGTTCGCTCACTAAAACTCTGCTGCTCAACTCTGCTATACTTCTGGCGCTACTTTGTGTAGGATTGTTGTCGGATGCCACAAAGGGATAGCAATGATGGAGATTAAAATTTGATGATCTATCAGCTTCGAGTGAAGGATGAAATGCAAATAATGCCATGGCGTGGCATTTGTTATTACTTATTACAGGTCACTTGACTTGCAATGAAAACGTTGCCGGGTGTTTGAGTGAAGCGAATGGATTTTGTTTCTTTATACTTTGGTTCTTGAACTTGTGTGGTAAAGGAGAGTATGTACTATGTATTGTGGTCTCTTCGTAATTGTGCCACACCAGGCAGACTGATAGAATTACTGTTAATTTGTATGGCACATGCATGGTACATGTGGATGATTGAAATTGAATGTACCATATGATTTCTGCAGTTCCAGTTCAGGTTTCCAGATAGATGGAAGGGACACATTTTGTGAGAGCATTCGAGATTTGCGGAAGTGTGCCGTGGGCTTGCCAGCAGGCCCAAAATAAAAATACAACTCAATCAGTAGCTAGACAACTAGAAAAAGTCCAGAGCCACAAATGTTTATGCAAATCCTCCTTGCCCTGGGGCTGAATGTGAGTATAAAACTCAGTGGTGAGGATGAGTGGGTCTTGTATAAAAAGAAAATGCTGAATAGCATCTCAATTCCTCATCATTGCATCTACTGGGTTATTGCTGGCATGCTTACTGCAGTACTGTGATTTCGCTAGTCTGGAGCAATCAGAGTATTCATTTCTAATCGATATCTAAAATTGGTGAGCTAACTTAACTGATGTCCAAAATTGGTGCCAACTACTAGCAACAGGTGAAATGCTCTACATGATCAGGGTTCCAGCATAAGTGCATCAAAAAAACATAGCACATATCTTCCATAATCGAAGGTATCGGATGAGTAGTCAGGAACACGGAAACTAGAGGATCAGAACATTCAAGCAGCAGCTTTTAGAAAGTCGTTCTAGAAAGTTGACTCAATGAGATGCAGCCCTGATGATAGCAACGCATAACAAGTGTTCAAATGATATATTACGAGTATGTAAACCTCCACATCAAATGGCCATGGAGGTAAATCATGCTGCAACCAATAACCTCTACTTAACATGACTCACAGCATGCAAAATAAGGCTACAGAAAATCCCTCAAGTTCTAGGCACAGGAGATAGCAGTCTATGCTCTAGAAGGAAAGCCTTTCCATGGGCATGCTAAGACAGGGAACCTGTTATGACGGGCTTGCACTATGGCCGGAGAAGGCCTGGCCGTGGCTAGGGCCGCGTCCGGGATGGGCCTAAAGCCCACATCGTCACGTAGTAGTATTAGCTATTATTAGAATTATTAGAATTACTATAGATTTCCTGTTATTAGATGAGAGGAGTTATAAATACCTTGTAAGACTATTTTGAGAATTAAGCAGAATCATACCTAATTGTTTCCGGCTTCCCCTGGGAGCCGGGAGTTTTGCCCTAGCTGTCTTCTCGCGTCCCTCACTGCAGCCACAGCGCCGCCGCGCCGTCTTCCTCGTGCACTGCGACCTCGCCCTCCGATCTTCCACTCATACAATCTGCGATCCCTCTCCAACAGGACTAGGGTTCCTAGCAGCTTGGTATCAGCGATTCCAGGCACGATGACTTCCGCTCCGCTCAGCCACGCCGCTCCACCGCTGCTGTCATCCATGCCATTGCCCACGGCGTCCTTCGAGCTCTCAGCCGCGTCCGCGTCCAACTCGCCGGGCGGCTCGCTCACCCAGAGCTCGATCACCCTGGAAACTCTGGCCGGCGTGGTTGATCAGATCGGCCGCAACATGGACCAGCTTGGCTGCAACATGGTTGCCATGCAAGCGTCCTTGACCAGCCTCTTGCCGCCGCCTCCACCATCACAGCCGTCGCCTCCTACCCTACCGCTGCCAGACGCGCCTTCGGTATCGCACCAGACGCACTTCTCCTACGGCATGCCCCATAGCGGGCCGAGGGTGCCTCTCCATCTGCTTCAGTGGCCGCCCTCCCTGTCCCCCATACCGTCGTGGGCGATGTTAGGGTCGACGGCGCCGCCGGTTTACACGATGGCTACATCTCCTACGCCGTCCGCGGTGACCACCTCCGTCGTCCCTCCAGCCCCAACATCCGGTACGTTCTACGGCGACATGGACGGGTTGCTCTCCTACGGTGGCACTACTGGGTCGGCTGCACCGGCGGTCCTTGGGACTGACCACGGAGCGCACGGGGGCGCTCCAGCGCCGCCGCGCTTCTACAAGCTCGAGTTCGCCACCTACGATGGCGGAGTGGATCCGCTGAATTGGCTTAACCAGTGCGAGGAATTCTTCTACGGCCAGCGTACTCTCGCCTCGGATCGCACATGGTTGGCGTCGTACCATCTCCGCGGCGCTGCACAGACATGGTACTACGCGCTCGAACAAGATGAAGGCATGCCAGCCTGGGAGCGTTTCCGCGAGTTGTGCCAGCTTCATTTCGGACCCCCGACGCAGGGCACACGTTTGGCGGAGCTTGCTCGACTGCCCTTCACCTCCACGGTCCAGGACTACTCGGAGCACTACAACGCCATCCTCTGCCATGAGCGCGACCTAAACCCTCGCCAAAAGGCGCAGCTCTACGTCGGCGGTCTTCCTGAACATATCAAGGTGGACGTCGAGATGCAACATCCGTAGGACCTGCAATCCGCCATGTACTATGCGCGGGCTTACGAACATCGCGCGGCAGCCTTCCTGCCGGCACAACAGCCGCAGCAGCAGCGTGCTGTTCGTCCACCGGTGCGCCTCGGCCTTCTGCCAGCTCCCCGGCCGGCTGCAGCTCCATCCTCGGGGACTATACCACAGCCGCTTCCGACGACAAACCCCGGACAGCCGCGATTCCGCCGCTTATCACCAGCGGAGCAACTTGAACGACGTCGCCAAGGTCTCTGCTTCAACTGTGACGAACCCTACGTCCGCGGTCATGTCTGTCAACGCCTCTTCTACTTGGAGAACGATGACTACGTCGACGCCGAGCTCCCTGCCGAGGTTGCAGCCGCGGCCGCGTTCCAGGAGCCGCCCGCGGTCACCCCTCCAATCCTGGAGGCCACGGGGGAGGCGTCGGCCACAGCTGGGGCGCCACCCACAGTGTCCCTCTACGCGCTCGCTGTGGTGCGCCCGAAGAACGCCATGCTTCTACCCGTGACAGTGCGGGGCCACCGTCTGGTCGCTCTCCTCGACTCCGGCTCGACGACCAACTTCATCAACGCCGATCTCTTCAGTCGTCTGCAGCTTCCCTCCGTTCCGCATCCCACGCTATGGGTGCTCGTGGCCAACGGTGACTGCGTGCCGTGCCACGGACTCACCCGCGACATCGCCGTGACCATCGACGCCGAGGAGTTCTCCATCAACTGTTTCGGCATCAGTCTCGGCGAGTTCGACCTTGAAAGGATCAAGATGCCCAAAAGGGGGGGTGAATTGGGCTAATTCTAAATTTTCTTTCAATATCTAATCCTACGGATAGCCCAATTAACCCCTTGTGCCTAGAAAAGTGTTTCTATCAAATTAACGCACAAAAGACTTGCAACCTATGTTTCAAACTTACTCTAGCATGGCAATTCTATGAATGTAAAGACAAGTATTGAATTGCTCAAAGTAAATACTTAAAGTAAATGCTCAAGGTAAATGGAGAGAGGAACGCGGCGATGTTTTGCCGAGGTATCAGAGAGTCGCCACTCCCCACTAGTCCTCGTTGGAGCACCCGCGCAAGGGTGTAGCTCCCCCTTGATCCATGCAAGGATCAAGTGCTCTCTACGGGTTGATTCTTCGACACTCCGTCGCGGCGAATCACCCAAAGCCGCTCACAACTTGAGTCGGGTCACCCACAGTCTCCACCGGGTGATCACCAAGCTCCCAATCACCACCAAACCATCTAGGTGATGGCGATCACCAAGAGTAACAAGCACGAACTCTCACTTGACCACGCGAAGCCTAATGAGAAGATGGATGCACACTTGACTACTCTTGATTCACTAATGAGGCTACTCTCTTGGATTCTCAAATCTCAATCACCTCACTAGGACCTTTCTCTTCTTGGCACTCACAAACGTGTTTCTCAGCTGTTGGAATGAGCAAAAGCAACTCCACACACGAGTGGAGCTTCTATTTATAAGGCAGCCTAAAAAACGAACCGTTATGAGCTTCTGCTGATGCATCGGGCGCTCGGTCAGACCGACCGGACGCTCCGGTCAGTTCAACCCGCGAACCAGTGAAAAAGAGTTGACCGGACGCTGGCAGGGTCCGGTCAGCACTGACCGGACGCATCCAGTCGCATAAAACCCTTACTGGAACCTTACTGGACTCGACCGGACGCAGAACCCTCAGAGTCCGATCAGAACTGACCGGACACGTTCGGTCGTAGATTTCCTTCTCAGGAACCTTACTGGAGTCGACCGGACATCGCCTTTTCAGCGTCCGGTCACTCGACCTCTCCAAATATTCGTCGGTCACACCGAACACGACATGAATGATCCAATGAACTGACCGGGACCTCGGCACCCGGCGTCCCCGGTCATCTGGGCTGCAGCGTCCGGTCAGCATTTGACCCTCCATTCACTTCCAACTCTCGATCATATGTGAATGAAGTTTGCTCCAAAGGACCTTAGGCATTCGTAGGAGCTACCTAGAGCTAGTTTTAACAAGTGTGCACCACACCTAACTCACTAGACTTAACTAGGTCAAGCTACCCGTCCATACCCCCTTAATAGTACGGCCAAAAGAAAAACAAAGTCCAAAACTACTCTAAGTGTCTCTCCAACTCCAATCAACACTTAGAACTAGTCATCCTTAACCTTGTCGTCCATCCTTTGAAAACCGAAACGATTTCCATCGTAGGGGCATGACAACTTTGATTGCCCAATTGATCTCCATTACCATGACCTAACTTACTTGCCTCTGCAAAACACACGTTAGTCATAGTAATCTTGTATTGTCATTAATCACCGAAACCCAACTAGGGGCCTAGATGCTTTCAATCTCCCCCTTTTTGGTGATTGATGACAATACCACCTCGAGAATGTGAAAGAGTGAGGTTTTTGACGGGCTTGGTTCATATAAGCTTTTGTCGATAAGAACAAAAGTGTTAGTCAAGCTTACATGACCCAAGCCAACACAATGTACTCAAAGGATGTGAATTAAGCATGAGTACGATTAACAAAGCTCATTTGCATCGGAGTATAACCGCAGAAGCAAGGGCAAATGAAGAATAACACAAGTGATATGACATATAAATAATGTAAAGTAGAGAGCACATATGTCATATATCACAATCACATAGATAACACTATCACATAGATAGAATAATATGCGTGAAAGTAAACACACGAATGCAAAAGTAATAGTGTATCACACAAATAAAACTCCAAATGTATATAATAAGCTAATACTATATAACTAGCTCCCCTAAATGTCGCCTCCCCAGTCTACATACTCAACCCTCTCCCCTTTGGCGTCAAACACCAAAACCCTAGG